ATCACGGTAGTGTTAGCTGTGACTGCAAGTGGCCGGAAGCTTCCACCGCTCGTGATTTAGAAGGAGAAGAAAGGAAATCGCGCTATATCCATTGTGAACTATGTGTGGGTGGCTAATCAGCCCAAAGCTTGGGCTATTCGTAAAAATCCGTTAGATACTGCAGTCATATTAAAAAAAGAAATGCTTCGTGGCAACGAGCTCGGTACAAAATTTTCTGCATCAGCAGTCTTCACCACAAACTGCTATTGAATACTAAACAAAAGGTTTAAGAAACTCAGGAAACGCGTTTATGAGGTGGTGTTTCAGCCTAAGTCATAACAAGAAGTGACACTACGGGTTCAGTATCAACAACTTGGGCTAAAATGTAGCTATTTTGGGTAAAAGTACGTTGCATTATTCCCCTTTATCACTCAAATTTTTCAGATATACTGCCAGCGGTATCCTACCGGTTTGCTCGCCTTAATCATTGGTGGAGGTCTTCATTACGTAGATCTTGTGTTTCTCTCAGCAAACATGGCGAGCAGGTTCTGGGCAGGCAGCTCTTCCGAAGAAGAAGAGAGTGACGTATCAGATGTTTCAGACGTAGAAACATCGCAGCAACAAGCTGCGCGCGCAGCGTCACGTTGGGCCGTGCAGTCTGACTCGGACTCGGACGAAGAGGTACGGGTGGTCAAAAGTGCCAAGGACAAGGCACTTGAGAGTATTGAGCGCAATTGCACTGGCATCAAAAATCACATGAAAATTAACGATTGGAGTCAAATTCAGTCGGAGTTTGACGAGTTGACTAAGCAGCTCGAGCGTGCCAAAAAGTCTATGACTACACTGCCGATCTTTTATCTTCGTACGATGATGGCACTGGAGGATTTTTTAATGGAGAAGGTCAAGAACAAAGCTGAGCAAAAGAAGATGAGTAAGGAAAATAGTAAGGCGCTTATTCGTATGAAAGGCAAGCTTAAAAAACAGTTGGAACCCATACGCAAACAAATTGACGACTTTCGTGACAACCCTGTTGACTCAAGCAATAATGATTCAGATAGCTCCTCGTCCGAGTCGTCATCAGACGAGTCTGAGTCAGATGCATCTTCTTCTTCGACTCAAAATAGCGGCGAAGCCTCCGCGTCGGAGGACGAAAGTAGCGACGACGACAAGTCTGAATCGGATGAGGACTCAGACGATTCGGACGATTCGTGGCCAAGCAATTCTTCTTCGTCTTCGTCGTCATCAGAGGACGATGACAACATGCCTAAGGGCCGTGCGCGTTGGCTCAAGCAGACGCCTGTGGTAACCAAAGCCAAGAAGGTCAAGGGTCCTAAAATTGTTAAGCAGCGTGAGACTCGTCGTGGTTCGGAGGATGACACCAAGAAGGTTGTTGTCGAAGAGGAGTTGAAACTCAGTCCTAGTCAGTTTGACCGTCGGGTGAAGGAGGTGATTGCAATGCGCGGTAAGAAAGGCATGGATTTGTCGGAGCAGCTTAATCTCCTTCGGAAACTTGCCAACTATGCGCGCCGTCTCGGTCCTGCTCGTCAAATCGTCGCAACCATGTATTTGGTGGGAACGTCTGTATTCGACACATCGTCCAAAATTGATCGCGTCATGTCAGCGCGGCACTGGAAACAGGTGCAAACGAACGTGTGCACGATCTTGACTCTCCTAGAAAAGAACCCCGACTTTTCATTAGCCCCACTTTCGTCCGAAGACCAGGCTGACATTGTGCGTGCTGGCCGCGAAAAGGTGACAGCGGCACAAATTGCAGCTGCCGCAGCTGAAGAAGCTGAAGAGGATCTACATTTTGTTGATTCGTTACCCCAGGCCGGCAAAAAAGGAACGATTAAGGTATCAGGCGATCTTGTTACTTTTGTGGAGCGCCTGTCCGAGGAGTATACAAAAGCGCTTCAGCAAACGGACCCCCATACTACCGAATACGTCGCTCGTTTGTATGACGAAAGCCTACTATTTGATGTTGCAGAGCGTGTGCAAACATTGTACACACAGAAGAATGACCCTCAGCGCGCAGCTACCATGGCCTTAATTCGTGCCGAACTTATTTACTACAAGCACGACTCTATTGCTGCTGCACTGTACGAAGCCCAAGCTAAGCGTGCCGAGTATGGTGACCCGAAGTTCCTTCACCCTGCTTGCACGAGCGTCAGCGCTGTAAAGACCAAGAAATTTGATGTCACGGCCTCTCATCCCGCGTCAATTATGGGCCAGCCTACCGTGAATGTTTCTGTCATCGACTCAGAGAAGCATCTGCGCGACATTTGTCGTTTTGTGTTTCAGCATGGTGATATTCGTGCCAAGACCCGTGCTATGTTGTGCCGCATCTACCACCATGCGCTGCATGACCGTTTCCACGAGGCCCGCGACCTACTTTTGATGTCGCACATTCAGGACAACATCACCGACGCCGATATTCCCACGCAGATTCTTTTCAACCGTATGATGGCGCAGCTTGGTCTGTGCGCATTCAGATGCGGCCTCATTTGGGAAGCGCATGCGTGTTTGTCAGAGATATGTACCGGGTCGCGCACCAAGGAGCTTCTGGCCCAGGGTCTACAGTCATTTCGGTATGGTGAACGTGATCTGGAGCAGGAGCGTCTCGAGCGTCGTCGCCAGGTGCCATATCACATGCACATTAATCTTGATTTGCTCGAGACATGCCACCTCGTGAGCGCAATGTTGCTTGAGGTGCCAAATATGGTTAACGCACGTCTGTCGGATCGCAAGCGCATGGTGTCCAAAGCCTTTCGAAAGTTGCTTGAGTTCCATGAGCGTCTCGTGTTTGAGGGCCCTCCTGAAAACCCGCGTGACCATGTTGTTGCCGCTGCAAAACTTTTGGCTCAGGGCTCTTGGCGAAAAAGTGCCGACCTCTTGGTTAATTTACCCGTGTGGGAATTATTCCCAGGTCTTAATGTACCTCAACAAGTCAAATCAATGGTTCAGCACAAGATTCAAATTGAGGCTTTACGGACTTACCTGCTGGCGTTTGGATCTGAATATGACTCGGTGAGCCTTGCCCGACTCATGGAGATGTTCGAGCTTGATGACAAGACCGTCCACAATGTCGTTTCCAAGATGATGATCAACGAGGAGCTCCAGGGTGCCTGGGATCAGACCTCACAAGCTATTGTCCTGTACAAAACAGAACACTCGACGTTACAAACGATGGCAGTGCAGTATTCGGACAAGCTTTTGCAGATTGTCGAGAACAATGAGCGAATGATGGACCTTCGCTCGGGAACCAGCAAGGACGAATGGGGCAATCGTCGAACCGGAGCTGACGGTCGCCGTGTAGGAGGACGAATTGGTTTTAGCACCAGTGGCAGCCGACGTGGAGACAACCAAAGTGGACGCGGAGGCTTCCGACCTCGTCGTGGAGGAGGCAGTGGTGGTGGTCGAGGACCTCGACAGCAGCATCAGTAGATATAATGGCACGTTGAGATCAATGCTATGAAGGAGCGTATCAAAAACTCGCGTTATCCGTATTTTTTTCAATCTTGTCAGCAATTGGTAAAAATACCATGACAAGCCAGATGTTAAGACGTTTGATGTGCATTACTGTCAGATTCATTCGTTATCGAGCAAAAATGCCTGCAAATGGAATTTCAAATGTTAATTTACGATAATTGATCGCAATTATTTTGTGTTCTCCTTAGATTTTGCTACCAGATGTAGCTCCACAAATTTTCGATAAAAGAACTTTCAAGAAATTGTACGCCTCACGCCTCAGTAACTTGATCGTCTTCCTTATCAGCAGACGTCGAAGATGCGGCATTATTATCGCGTCCATTGCTCTTTCCACGACCTCCACGATCACGTCCCCGACCACGTCCACGACCATGATGTCGTCCTTTGCCCACCGAAACGTTTTTCTCAGTCAATTCATCAATTTCTGTCTCTTTTTCTTCAATTCCATTAACTATCGTCTTTCGACCTTTTCTTCCACGTTTGACCTTTCGATTGGTTGCCGCATTTGCAGCTTCGCTTTCTACTTGCTGCTCGACTGCATTTTTAGGATTATTGTCATTCACCTCAACAGATGTTCGCCCATGTGATTTGCCGTTGCGTCCTCGACCCCGTCCTTTACCGCGCTTTCCACGGGCTGTAGGTGCATTTGTACTTGATGCTTCATCTTCACCAGGTGTCTGCTGGCCAGCTTCTACTTCATCCGTCTCTTCAATAGTTTTCTGAGCATTTGCAGCAGCATCTATCCCATTGCGTCCCGAGCGCCTGCTATGACCCCGTGACTTTCTATACTCGCGTCCTTCATGGTAAGTTGGGAAACCCGCCGTCACCTGGTCCAGCGGAATGGGGCTTTGATATCCCGGATCATTTTGCTCCAATTGGTCCAACGAGAGCTGAATTGAAATACCAGGGATGTGCCGCGTAGTCTCAATGCGATCTAATCCCTCCTCCAGTGGCTCATAAACGTCAACTGTCTCGATAGATGAGATGCGAGTCACTTGGTGTAGATTAGCCACGCGATGCTTTAAAATTTCCGCCACTGTCACAGCTTTACTAATTGCATTGCCCATGGCCTTCAGAACCACTCGACGCTCATTTTTCTCCTAAAATCAGATATGAATAAGACACATTTACTAATGCATTAAACAGTATCACTAATCACTTACGGCGAAGAGCCCGTTGGCGTAAGAGATGTAACTGCGAACTTTTCCTTGTTGCGTAATGCGGATCTCGTTAGGATCCACCTCCATCGTCTGTTCCTCGCGGCGAGATTTCTCAACACGTTTATACTTGTCCATGATACAAAGCAGCAATAACGGAGAGGCGCGTTCGACAGGTTGTTGTCAATGTGATGGCTGCCGACGAAGGAAAGATCTATAGGTTAAAAAGTAGCAGTATTAAGTAATGGTAAAGAACAAGGTAACGATGGGGAGTATTCTGGAAAACCTCAGAATTTCAAACTTAGATTATAGGATTGTGAGAGTAGTATTTTACCTTATAAGACGTAAATGCAAAAAAAATTTTGCTAGGAAGATTACAGAATGTTTGCGCTTGATGATAAGTGTTATATACTATATCATTACCGCCTGGCAGTGCAAGTGTAGCTCGTTACTTAAGGTTCAGAAAATGTTGGGGATGATGGACGCAAGTTGCTCGGTGGAGAATTAAGTGCCTGATTAAGAAACTGAGATAACTGCCGTAGTTTATCGTCCGTGTCGCGCTTACTTTCGGCAGCGACGGCACAATCTTTCTGCAGCTGCGCGACACTCTGCCGTGCAGTGGCCAAGCTCTGTGTCATGCTATCAATCTGCGATCGAAGCATCAACTCTTCGCGAATGATTTCTTTGGTTTCATCTAATTAGAACATAAATCCATGCGGTAAATAGTCATATGGCATGATGCAGGTGTACCCCACCTTGAGTATCCATTAGCTCTAACTTAGCTTTCTGCAACGCCTTGCGTAATATTCGCACGATACACTCGTAGCCACCCACTTCCATCAACTTCTTCTCGGCCAATACTTTATTTCGCACCGCAAGAGCCTCAGACTGCACAAGTGCGGCTTCATCTTTCTCCAATTCTTCGCGTCGACAAGCAAGCGCACGGGCTTCAGTGGTGAACTCTTCTGCTGTATTCACCACCTTTGTAATGTCGTCCTGCGTGGCTTGTAATTGTTCGTCGACATCTGATAATTCTTTTCGAATGCTGTCAATACGCATGTGATAGCTTTTGCTCTCCGCGACATTCATAGCAACCGAAGCGAATATGCTCACAATGGGCTTAAATGTGCTGTCTATTCTTGATCCATGACTCTCATAAAACGCTCAGCGACTGCTGACGAAAATGTACTTGCTGAAAATCTTGTGAACAGCCTATATATCTTTCCATTTTTCTACAGAGCCACGAAGACTTTTCATTTGTTAATTTGCGCAGATTAAGGAGATGGGGCGTGGGTTTGTTGGATCTTTGACTACGGCGGCGGCTCTGGCTTTAGCGCTTTCGACCCTGCTGCTGAATATAATTGACGCTCAGGAAGAGGGATGTCGGTGCAAACGTACCATGAAAGGACGCGAACACCTGCATCCAAAGCTACATACACTACCAGTCATGTCACTTGACGAGGAGCATGAGCTCGAACAGCTTCCAAAGCACTTGGATTGGTGTGAACGCGGTTTTTGCGTTCCAAGTTGGAATCAGCACATTCCGCAATACTGTGGCTCATGCTTTGCTCATGGTGCTATGTCAAGTGCCCAAGATCGTATCAAGATCGCGAATAAGCGTCTTAACTTCACCGGTGCAGACGTGATGCTTGGTCGCCAGAGCTTTTTGAATTGTGCACCTGGCCATGGATTATCTGATGGTTGCGATGGTGGAGAAGCTGCAGATGTGTACGAGTTTATGCACCGCTATGGACTACCAGACGAGTCGTGTTTGCCATATAATGCAACGGACCACACCAAGTTCCACGCGACCAACGGCACGTGCCCTCCTCATGGATATTGCATGAAGTATGCCTACTTTTGCTCAAATCTATGTATCCCTTGACATCATTCTAACTTTTGAAGTGTTACGTAGTTGTATGTACACACCTGATAGTAGAAAAGTGCCTCACTGCTTCCCTGTGACCAAGATGGTGCGTTACCGTGCTAAGAACTACGGCCATTTGTCGGGGGAGCTTGCTATGATGAAGGAAATCATGAAGGGCGGTCCCATCACATGTGGCATTGCCTGCAATCCCGAGTTTACTTACGAGTACAAAGCTGGCATTATCGATGATAAGACCGGGTTTCTGGATCTCGACCACGATGTTGAAGTTGTTGGCTGGGGCGAACAGGATGGTGTAAAGTACTGGCACGTCCGAAATTCTTGGGGAACGTACTGGGGTATGAATGGATTCTTCAAAATTGTGCGTGGCAAGAACAATTTAGGCATTGAGGCCGATTGTGCATTCATGGAGCCAGACGTCATCGATGAAGAGCTGGTGTGGGAGGAGAGACCAATTTATGGCGGCTCTATTTTCGGTATTGTTCCGTTCGAGAAATCCGCGAAAGATTATCCAATCAAGGACACGTCCGAGGACATAACGAATCGCGAGGATAATGTGCTCGATGCCTTTTACATGGACTTCCCTAGAGTCCAGTCTAAAGGCAATGCAATGTCGTCTGCAATGCTCGCTACCGTGTTTTTTGTATCGGGTTGTGTCTGCGCTACCCTTGCTGCGGTGATTGTTTTGAAAACTCGTGGCCGCCGCTACGTGTATCGGCCGATATTCTGATTAATTCGATGATGAGGACATAGAACATTTGGCGATCTGAAAAGATGTTGCTGAAATTGGAATCGATTTACCTAATTGATATATACACAATTTGTAGATGACAAGGTTTTTCTGATTATCTTGGTGACGAATATTGCAGCAGGACTAGGTATTAATAATCACTTTACTGAAAGTGCACTTTTGGGGCGGGCGCCTAACGTAGAGGACGGCACGACACCGAAACAGCTTGTTAGAATGCATGACGTATAGAAATTACTTCTTTAATGTAAAAGTGCATACATTTGATGCTAATTCTTCAACCACGACGATTGAGATGGTACACCGCATGGTGTACATGGATGGCTTTGCAGAAAACCGTCTGTTGGAACTGCAACGAGATTTTTCGGATTAATATTTCCTCGCATCAATTCGTTCTATATAAAAAATTATAATACGATCATGATGCATTGTGAAGCTCGACGTATCAGCAGATAACAGAGTGTGCTGCAATCGTGCGTATCAAAAAGACAATATGTTAACTTTGGTGTTGGGTCTTCATTACCGCCAAAGTGATAAATTACCACAAGATTCTATTTCTTAAAGTACAATCGTATAATACCATTTTTGCGATATTGGGACCTTTTCACAAACAGTCAAATTTATTTGGCAATTGAGCGACACGATGAAGCGAAAAATCTGGCGTACAGAGTTCGAACGGCAATACATCGCAATCATACCCGAGTAGGGTTCGACTCGTCCAACTCACAACAGATTTTCACGAAACTTACGAGATAGATTGAAGGGTCAGGTCATTTCACATCAAATTTGATTAAAAAATTAATGGGATTTCTGCGCGTGCTTGGAGCCATCAGCTCCCACTCTTCC